TGGTCAAGACGAATTTTCCAAATGAAGTAACCTGGTTTTACCAGTATGGGTTCATCTGAATGCTAAGGTATGTTTTCTATACTCTAGCACAATTAGAAATATAAATATTCAAATCATGAGCAGAAGTCCTACAATTGTTCAACTCCTTAGAAAATTCTATCCGTTAGTTTTGAACCAGTTCCGTCGGCCTTAGAACTCTAAACCACAAAAATTGCCTAAAATCTAGGAAAGCCTAACCGTTCATTCAAACCTGAAATTTCAGGTTGATTAGACCTCTAATTGACCACTGCTAAAGCTGCCGTTATACATTAAATGTGTATTTCTCTTTAAATACACATCATTACCTCCTGCCATCTTCATAATCCCAAATCGTCAAAAATCCCTCTTCAATTTCACTTGATTTCTTCTCCAAAATTCTAACTCACCAATTCTCTCAAGAAACCAGCGATCATGACAAACCCACAAGACAATCCTGGAACTCCTCCACCACCCACTGCCTCTAATTCATCTACCCCTCCTCCACCTAGCACATCTCCCAAACCCAGGCTGAGAAGGGTAAAAATGCTTGCTCGGAAAACAGTAGTGTCTGGGGCTCTCTCAAAGAAATTAAATGAGAAATTAAAGGCAAGCCAGGTCCAAGACTCTAACTCCAACTCTGGTTCTGAGTCATACAAATCGGCTAGTGAGGGGGAGGACCTGGGTCTTCTGACTCTGAGAAGACTCAAGAATCCCCTTCTAAGGTAAGTTCTTCTCTGACTGAAAATCTAGAAACTAGGTTTGTTTTGGTTGGGCCTATCATGGATGTAGAATTACCTGAGTTACGAAGGAGTGGAGGTAAATAGAAATCTGAAAAAGAAAAAGAGAGAGAGGGTGCATGTGGTGAAGAAAGGGAAATGGGAAAAGAGTGGTTGATCATTCACCCACTGCTGGTTTGTCTATGCCTGCTATCTGTGGGGTTGAACAAAAAAATATAGAAGAGACTGGCAAAAAGCCAGGGGGAAGTGGTTCTGGTGAAGCTGCTGAAGGGTTAGTTAATCTATGTGCACAAGAAGATGAACTTGGTTCATCAACTAAAGAGACCCTAGCAGACTTGTTGAAAAAGGTTGGGGCAAGTTATGATCCAAAAAAAAGAAGAACTCCCACACCAAAAGCCCCCAGTGCTCCTAAACCCTCCAAGAAAAGAAAGGCTTCATCCCCAACAACTATTGAAACTTCCTTGCCTAAGGGAAGATCCACAAGAAGCAGGGTGAAACATAGCGAGAGTGATCTACAAAAGGCTCTAGCTGAGAGTAAGAAGAAAAGGATGGCTAAAGGAAAGGGGAAGGTGGCAGAGTCTTCAGAGGCTGTGGAAGTTGAGGAGATGGAACAAGTTCATCAAAAGGAAGTTCCAACAGTGGAGGTTCAGACCCCCAAGCCCAAAAAGCCCAAGACTTCTTCCAAGAAGTCTTCCTCTATATCTGAGGCTGCTGAACCTTCATTAGCCAAGAGGACAAGGTCTGCAGTGAAAAGTAAACAAGTAAGAATTTCTGAAGATGAGGAATGGAGTGGAGAAGAAGAAGAAGATGAGTTTGATGGTGAACAAGACAAGCTTGCCATGTTTAGCAAAAGAAAACTTTTGAAGGGTAGATTGCTGAAGGACCTGGTGGAACCAGGAATGATGGGACTGGTGGGTGCCTTAGCTGCTCAGGGGTGGAAGGACATGGTCCTTCAGATGGATGGTAGGCTAGCCAGAAATGAGATAATTGAGTTCATGGCAAATGCTGAGGTTAAGGATGGCAAGGTTAGCAGCCTGGTGAAAGGAGTTCAAGTGACCTTTGATGCATGGAAACTGGGAGAGATCCTTGACATACCCTTTGAAGGGTTTGATGATTATACAAGGCAAAGGTGGCCTTGTCTGGACTCCCTTCCTACTGCCCTTGAAATTACCAGGAGATTCTGTGATGCTGAAGATCTGAATGAGGCTAGGGCTGTTCAGAAAAGTGAAATGAGGCCACAACACAAAGTCTTGTTTGAATTTGTCAACAAGTGCCTATTGCCCAGATAGGAGAGAAGGCATATTGCAAATTATATGGACCTAGTTTTTATGGAGTGCCTGGAAAGTGGAAGGCAAATTAATTGGCCTGCATTCATCATCAAGCTGCTGGACAGGGTCATCAATGACTCCAAGGCTCATGCTACCCCCTATGGCTTTATTCTGACTACGATTCTGAATAGGTGCAATGTGCCTCTGAAGAAATGGGAAATGGCCTCAAGCAAGGATCACTTTGGCATAAATACTCTGATTACTTGTGACTATTTAGTCAGTGCCATCCCAAATGAACCTGGTTCATCCAAGAAGACTCCTATCAACAGTAAAGTCAGGGCTCTAGTTCAGGAATGTGAAGCCAAGGATGCTGAGATAGCTAAGCTCAAGGCTCGAGCGGCAGAGGTGGAATCTGAGAGGATGCCCTCAGAACTGAGCTTACCAAGGAAAAGGAGAAGAATGATGGAATTCTTCACAATATGCTGAATCTTCTCCAAGCCCAAAACCAACCCTCTAGCTCCCCCAAGCCTTAGGAATTCTAGCCTTTGTCTCCTGAACCTGTCTAGTACCTTCAGTGACCCGGATTAGGGATTTTTCTCTCTTTTTTTTTGCTCATGTTTTAAATGTTTTTTGCTTTCTGGTTGTGGATTGTGGTAGCAACATATCTTCTATCAATGATATCTACTGTTTTTGCTCTTGTTCAATGTTAATCTTTCCTTGATAGTTTAAATATGTTTGCTTGATTACTGATGATTAAACCATGATTGCACTTACAGTTGCCCCAGTGGCCATGAGTACTTATTAAAATCTGGGACTCACACTTTGTATGCAACTTTTCGATGATGCCAAAAGGGGGAAGAGATATTGTGCTTTACACATTCTGAATAAGTGATATTTATAAACTAATTAACCTGGTCCTTGATGATAAGCGAATTTTCTAAACTTTGTATTGATGGTTAAGCTGAGTTATCACAGGATCCAAGTAAGAAAAAGCACAGAGTTTGTCATCATCAAAAAGGGGGAATTTGTTGGCCCAAGAACAGGTGAAATTTTGAAGATTGACAAAAGAACTCAGACATGGACCAGGTCCATCTTGTGCAGCATAGTCATGATCGACCCAAACATGTGAGATGCATGTGAAGGAGATAAATCTAACTTATCAGAAGTAATATCTCTCGATCTGATCGAAAAGGTTGCATATTGGATAAGGAGAGAAAGACTCCTTACATGAAGAGAACACAATTGAGATCGAGATAGTGTTAGAGTTTGAGATCATCTTGAACTCTTCTACGATAGAAGAGTAGCATTTGAATCCCAGTCAATCTCTGATTACTAACCTATTAAATATTAGTGTTGTTCTCTTTTACAGGTAATGCACATAAGCAGAAGTTAAACTTAAATTGAGAGCAAAAGAGCAAGGCGATTTTGCAAGCAATTTATGTATGATTCAAGTGTGCAATCCTGAAGCTACTTGAACAAGATAGAAGAACCAGTTTCAAGTGTCTATCTTTTATTCTAGTTCAATTGTAGTAGGTGTTTTTACTTTGTACCTTTCAGCTTTTATAGAAGCAATTGTATTAGGTACCTAGAGTGTTCAAGTTAGAGTTAACTTGAAGTTGTCGCAACAGCTGAGGCTGTGTGCCACAACGGGATTAGAGTTTACAAAGAATTTTGTAAATGCTGTTTTGGCTCAGTGATTTTAGTGGAAGTTTGGGAAAATCCTACTGAGTAGTAGGTCGTGGTTTTTTCACCTTTTGAGCCAGGTGTTTTCTACGTCAAAATCTCTATGTTCTTTATTTTCTTTATTTGTTATTCCGCAAATAGTAGTAGTTGGACGACATAGAAGAACTAGGTCCTTCTATAGTTCAGTTAAACGAAAATTGGGTACCACACAGATCACCCCCCTCTTTTTTGGTATTGACGTTTAAAACTTCAATTATGTATATTACAATGTAGTTATATGAAATGGAATGGATACAATTTATCTAACAGAATTTGTTCTCCTAACAACTTGTGTAACTAACTTCTGCTGACGTGCTATCTAACTAACTAACTAATTTTCGGAATTTTGCTTCTAATTAACATCTGCTCATTCTACTAACTTTGAGCTGGATTTTCTGTATCAGAGTTTAGTGAAAATTATAGTTGATTTTGGTTGGCGAAAAAGCAATGATATACAACTAAATTGCATGTGTTTGTATGTCGGGTGTATGTTATTTGTATGTCTTATGTATCCGTGGACATACAAATAACAGACAAAATACATATAATAATATAAGTGTACGTAAGATGTATACAAGTTATATGTGGGCATCTTTTCCCATATTATACAAATTGTAAGAAAAAAAAGCTTAATTAATTTTTTAAAACTGCAATACCTAGAGAAAATGAGTAAATAAGTTTCTATTGTAGCATATATATGAAAAAACCCTTATTAATAGCACTTTTTTTTATATATTTAAATGTTATTCAAGAAATTCAAAATCTATTTACAAAAGAAAGAAAATAAAAGAAAACGATGTGTTGATTATCATAAGCAAACGTCAAAAAGACGCTCTTTTCGCACGAAAGGTATAACTCTATTGGTCTCCCCTCAACCGTTCAAATGCAATATATATTTGCACTGCAATCTACTCCTCTTTGTAACTCATTATCTATTAATTTTATCTATTTGAATAGTGTCCATTATAAACCACTGATTAAGAAATTATTTCAAAATATGCATTATAGAACAAATAAGGTACATTAAGGTCGAGAACAACTCGTCTCCATTACATTTAGCTAGGGTGTTCACGGTTTGACGGAAAATCGATACAAACCGAAAATCGAACCAAACCGATTAAGTAAACCGATATTTTTCTTGATTTGGATTGGTTTTAGTTTTATATTTTAAAAACCGATAATAGTTGGTTTGATTTTGGTTCTATTATAAAAAACGGAAAAATAAATCGAACCAAACCAATTAATTATATACAAAAGTTAATAATTATTTATATATAGTATAATATCTTTCTGTAAATAATTTTAAATATTTTATGTATTTTAATTATTATTTTGAATTTTGGTTTATCCTACTTATATCTTAAAAGATTGCCTAAACCCAAAACAATAAGAATCGGCCAATTTTCTTTTCCTTAAGAGACTCTAATTCTCTAACCCTACACACATACTTTTGCCTAACAGAAGAATTAAAAAAAAACTAACACAAAAGTAAAGAAAGCAAACTCAAATTGCAAGACTACAGTGACTAAAGCTTGAGAAAGCAAACTTTTAGTTTGTTTTCTGTTCATTCTTTTCATACAAATAGGTAAATAAACTTTCAGTTCCGAAAGAAATATATTAAAAAGCATATATTTAGCAAATTATTTTTAGATTGTTGTCTAGTGTTGTTTTATTATTATCGACTTATCATTAGCTTACTAAGAACCGAAAAACCAAACCAAACTAACAACAACCAAACCGATGGTTTGTATTTAATTTGTTTTTAAAATTTTAAAAACCGATTAAATTGATTTGATTTTGGTGTTAATAAAAAACCGACCAAATCGAACCGTGAACAACCCTACATTTTGCTCTGGTGGTCTTCAATATAGTCTTTGACTGACTGTGTCCGTTTGCTCAAAACGTTGACCGAAGCCCACTCTAATGAATTTTTAAGGCAAAATTCTTGTTTTTATCAGTTTTTAACATAAAAGCTTTCTAGATAAACTCCCCAACTGCGCACGCAAATCGAGGAGGGCTAAAATAAGGTATTTGAGGCTTCAAAACACAGAATTAGGTTCTAAAACATAAGATGACCTATCGGGTCATCACATTCTCCACCTCTAAAATAACCGTTCGTCCTCGAACGGACATAGAAAAGTACCTGGGAAGGTGAAAAGGTATGGATACCTACTCCGCATGTCCGACTCGGACTCCCAAGTAGCTGCCTCGACGTGCTGACCTCTCTACTGCGCTCGAACTGAAGGATAACTCTTTGACCTCAACTGACGAACCTGCCGAGTTAGAACAGCCACCGACTCCTCCTCATAAGTCAAATCCTTGTCCAACTAGACAGAGCCGAAATCTAACACATGGGACGGATCACCGTGATACTTCTGGAGCATGGACACATGGAACAGCGGATGGGCTGCTCATAAATTAGGTGGCAATGCGAGCTTGTAAGCCACCTCACCCACTCTCTGAAGAATCTCAAAAGGTCCGATATACCTAGGGCTCAACTTGCCCTTCTTTTCGAACCTCATCACACCCTTCATGGATGAAACACGGAGCAATACCCTCTCTCCGACCATGAATGCAACATCACTAACCATACAGTCGGCATAACTCTTCTGCCTAGATTGAGCTATGCGAAGTCGATCCTGAATAATCTTGACCTTTTCCAAGGCATCCTGTACCAAATCTGTACCCAACAACCGAGCCTGCCCTGGCTCGAACCACCCAACTGGCGAACGACATCGCCTCCCGTATAATGCCTCATAGGGAGCCATCTGAATGCTCGACTGGTAGCTGTTGTTGTAGGCAAACTTTGCAAGTGGCAAGAACTGATCCCAAGAACCTCCGAAGTCTATAGCACAAGAGCGGAGCATATCCTCCAATATCTGAGTAGTGCGCTCGGACTGTCCGTCCATCTGA